TTTGCATACATGTGGATTAATGTGTACACATAACATTTATTTCTAGCTCTGTCTGCTGAGAGGGCCTAATAGGAGCAACGACACCTCAGTAGCAATAAGCACACATCACATCCAGAACTTGGTTTCTAAATATCATCTCCAATAGAAGGAACCAGAGCTCCTTGGACAAGTGACTCATTCCAGGGTCTCAGTGGAGAAATATAAGATAAACCTAGAAAATGTTATCACGCCAGAAAAAGAAGTACGTTCCTAAAGAAAAGACCATGGGGGCATGTTGAAAAGACAAAGAGCCAACCTGAAGACCATACCTGGAACAATCTGAGCAACAAAATAATGACAGCATTATATTATAAGCCATAGAATAAAACAAGTATCTATGACTCAACACTAATAAACACAAATGACTAAATAAATAAATAAGGGGCAGTTCTTCCCTACAGAAAAATTCCAATCAATAAATGTAGAAGGAAATGAGTAAAATAAAATCACCATCAGGCAAACACCACTATAATAACTGTTACAGGCAAGATCTACCAAAGAATACTGAAAACTGGGCAAAATTTGAGAACAGGATATCTGCACAGTTTCAAAGAATCTTCCCAAGATACCTTGTAATTACAAAGAGAAAAATGGTGACTTTACAAGTAGAGAAATTTGACAGACATGAGGCCCACCAAATGAGAATTAACACCATCTCAAATAGGATATACTGACATCCTGTACTCAACACTAGTAATGCTGAATGTAGGACTCAACATTACACTCAACGTTACTTCTATAGTATTTTTGCCAAAAATCCAAAACTTCAATAAATCAAGAAAACATCAGACAAACCCAAATTGAGAGACATTCTACAAAATAAATGACCACACGCTCATCACAAGTGTGAAGGTCATGAAAGAAGAGAAAAGACTATCTCAGATCAGGTAAGATTAGGGAGACACAACAACTAAATGCAATGTGGGATTCCTGAAACAGAAAAAGGACGTTATTGGAAAAACTGGTGAAATTCAAATAAGGTCTGTAATTTCATTAACAGTATTGTACCAATGTTAACTTCTGGTTTTGATCACTGTGCTCTGGTTGCATAAGTTATTAACATGAGGGAAAGCTGGGTGAAAGGTACCTGGGTGAAGGTATATTTTTCAAAATTAAAAAAAATGTTTTTAAGTATCCTATTATACATTCTCTCCCTCAAGTGAGTTAAAACAAAGTTGAGAAATTCAAGAAGTATTTACACAGGGTAGGTAAATCCAACATTTCAATATTTGAAAAGCAACCTACGTTGAAACAAGATTTAAGTCATTAAGAGATACTTATGTATTTACAGGTGCTAGAGATGTTGCCTTCAAGAAACTTACAGCTGGTAAGAGAAACAAAAACGATAAATTGTCAACTTCGTTGATAAAAAAAATTCTGACACACACACAATCAGGTTATAATCCAATTATCAAATAACAAGAGTAACATCATTTATGATGTTAAAGTATGTAAGTGAAAATCATTTAGATAACTAAAATCTTCAAATAGAACATTAACACTTATACATTTACAGAATTTTAGTTTAACACACTCACTACACATACTTCAAATGGTAGTCTTATACATAATTAGTGTCTAATGCTTCAAAAAGTACTATTAAATATTTTCCATCAAAGATTATATTTCTCCAACCTAAAAACTAGTAGCTTAATCTCCAGCAAAAAAGAATACAAGAGAAGTAAAGATAACAAAAACGACCACAAAAATAAAACCAAACAAAACAATTCTTAAATCAGAACAATCTCAGGGGTGCCTGGGTGGCTCAGTCAGTTAAGCATCTGCCTTCGGCTCAGGTCATAATCCCAGGGTCCTGGGATCAAGCCCTGCATCGGGGTCCCTGCTGAGAGGGGAGCCTGCTTCTCCCTCTCCCTCTGTGCTCTCCTTCTCTCTGTCTCAAGTAAATAAATAAAATCTTTAAAAAAAGAAAAATCTCAGGAAAAAACAGGTAGATAAAGCTACATAGCAAGTCACTGGCTAAAGACAGCTAACTGAAAATCAAAATGTCAAAACCAATATATAAAGCATTATAAATTCATTAAAAAATATTCCATCTTCCCTCCTCCAGGTAGATCAACAGGGTTCAACTGCACCCCAAAAGTTGCAGAAGATGCTAATGATCTTAACACTACTCACTGTCTCAAAACTTTTAAGGATCAAAAGACCTACACTGTTCTAGTATCTCCAATAAGCCTTCCCAAACACAAAGTAGTAACATAGGATGACTCTAAATATTCTTAAAGATAATAATACAAGGATTATGCTAACATCTGCAATATAATAGAAACATTACTGTTAAGATTCAAACCCAGGCAAAGAGCCAGATCACTCTGAATAGATATTCTGATCAACTGATTACTGAGCAAGGATTCAGTCATACATCTCAAGCATCAATAACTTGTTATAAATCTTGTAACATTCCAAATTTCTGCCTGTTTTTCCTAGACTTAACAATAACCAGTCAAAAGTCTTCACAACATTAAGATTCCAGGGCGGGTCCTGTCATCAATTTTCTTGAAATTAACTGACAGTATATACATGAAAACATTGCCTTCAATTATAATCAGACATTTTCCAGTTTATAAAGAGAACAGGCAGATAAGAAAGGTGGAACAAAAAAGAAACAGTGCAAACTTTTGTAAAAAGTCTCACAAAAAGTAACAACTCTTTAAACAACTCCACATCTGTAGGTCCAAAACTCAGAGAGGAGGGACCAACTTAGAAAATGCTGCAGTGGTTGTGATCCTGGGGTCCTGGGATCGAGCCCCGCATCGGGCTCCCTGCTCCGCGGGAAGCCTGCTTCTCCCTCTCCCACTCCCCCTGCTTGTGCTCCCTCTCTCTCTCTGTGTCTCTGTCAAAAAAATAAATAAAATCTTAAAAAAAAAAGAAAAAGAAAATGCTGCAGTATTCCAGGGCTTTTTCCACTTCTCTCTACATCTTTCCTTAGGTGGTCTCAACCTGTTTCATAACTTAAAACACCATTTCATACTCTAAAAAATACAAGGGGTCAAGGCAGGTGAAGTATGTTACCATTCTGGCAAAGTGGGGAGAAGAATATATACATATTTGCTTAAATGTGCATAAAATATATCTTTGGAAAAGTATGTAAGAAAACACGAACCCTGTTTAGCGCTACAAAAACTGGGCGTAACGGAAGAAAAGAAATAGGGGAGATTTTCACTCTGTACCCCATCGAACATTTTAAATTTTGAATCATGTGAATGTAGTTTTTATTCAAAACATAAATAAACCAACAGATAAGTAAGTGCTGATGACGCCCCACCTCCTTCTCTCCTCACTAGAATTTAAGTCCCATGAAGACAGAGATTTTTGTCTATTTTTTCACTACTATAGCCCCACTGCCAGGTCCACTGCTGGTGCTTGAAAAACATTTGTTGAATGAATGACTTCTTAACCTCTTCTCTAAACTCCAGATTGTATATCCAACTGCCTACTTCTCACCTCCACCTGAACATCTAACAGGTCCTACTTAACATGTCCTACCTATTCAGCCTTTTCCCCATATAACATACTTCCCTCACCGCCTTCTCATCTCAATACATGGCATCACCATCCTCCAGGTGAAGTCCAAAACCCAGGAGTCACCCCTGTCTCAACCAACTGCACTTTCATGCAAGTCACAAGTTCAATCAATACTTTTAGCTCCAAAATACACCTCAAAAATCTTTAACTTGTCTCTGACACACCAGTCACTACTCTAATCTACCACGGCCTTCTAACTGGTCTCTCTGCTTCTTTTCTCCTTTTATCCAATCTCCCCTGCAGTCAGATTGTAAATCAGACCAGATCACTTCCAGTTTCATAAAAATTCCAAAAGATTTTCAATGTACTTTAAGAATAAAAGCCAAACTCTTTTGGACAATAAGACCTCACCAGATCTGGCCCTTGGCTATGACCTAACTTATCCCTCACGGGGTCCACATGCACTGAGCTGTCAGTTTACTGACCCCAAGCTTGACACGACCTCTGGGAACTTCCCTGTGCTATTCTCTCACGTAGGAATACTCTTCCCTCAGACTTCCAAAGGCTAAACTCTTCTGACTTTTCAGATATCAGGTCAAAGGTCACTTCAGACAGGTCTTTCCCAACCACAGCATCTGAAGTAGTCTTCTCTCAGTCACTACCACAACTTCCCTCTTTATTTCCTTCATTGCACTTAATGATTCTCTGAAATTATTTTTATTTCTTATGTCTTATCCGTCTCTCCCTCTCCCACCAGAATTGAAGTTCCAGGAGGGCAGAAACTTCACATCTTGCTTATTGTTGTATCCTTAATGCCTGTAATAATACTTGACATACAAACCAGGTACTTAATATTTAACTGATAAATAAGACAAAACTAACTTTAAAGAAGGTCCACAACATTTAATTTAATGACAAACTGGTGAGGATAAAAGACATGGATAAACCATCTTAACTTTCATAAACCACTGAAAATCACCAGAGGATGGAGTAAAGTAAGATTATTTCAGATGCATCTGAACATTCAAATACATAGGAAAGGTATGTTTCACACTCTATGTGCATACACACTGTAGAAATGTTCCCCCAAATTATAAACAGCCATCTGAAAAGAAAAAAGGGATAACTCAAAACACTGTGTCCATCGTAATTTCACCTCTGACTCTTTTGTAAGGGTCTTTCAAACACTGTATTTGGGTAAAACAGGCAAAGTATAACCAATTTGTCTGCCTTGGAAAGTAATGTGTGATTCTAAAGGGTAGGGTACAGCCTTTTGAGTGCTTTTAAATATCTATTACGTAGTCGGTAGTCAATGAGAACAAAGTGATTATTTCCCAAATTTTACTTTGAATGTACATTTGGGACAGATCTAATTCGAAGATTTTTATATTGTCAAGTCAAAGCGCCTACAGTGTATGTTAATATCTTCAAATCTTATCTATTCTAGTTATCTAATTATGTTCAAAATGTAAACTTACACAGTGCCGCCCATCAACTGGTAATAGTAATCCCTGAGGGAAAGGGGATGATTTAACAGTAACAGTGTGCAATTCACAGATGTTTTATTTACATGCACGTATCTGTGGGTTTGTAGGGAACGGTCCAGACTCCCTAGTGTGTAAGTGCTCTGAGGAGTCTAAGGATCTTATTTCACCAGACCCTAAGCGTAGAGACAGGTCTGGAGTGCACGTAGGTTACTCCTCCCCATAGCTATCAATCTTCGCTGTCTGCGGAAACAAAAGTGAAAATACTCGTGGTAAGGATGTAAGAGATTGATGCCCCCCCAACACACCCCCAAACACAGAGTTGTGTATCCGTGTGAGCTCGTAAACAAGCAGAAGAGTACACGCACTCTCACCTTCCCTCCTTCGGAAGAAAATGGGGCCGAGGGAGGGGCGGCCAAGGCCGGGTAGGGGAGGCCCGGGATCCAGTCCAGGGGGTGGCCGGGCTTAGGGGTCAGCGCTCCGGGGAGCCGGGGTCACTTACAGGACACCATCTTCCCTCGCCGCCCCCCTTCCATCCCTTTCCCTCCCCCCTCCTCGCCCCCAACTCCTTTCCTCCGCCCCATCCCCGCCACCCATTAACCGGGAAGGGAAGTTTCCCGGCGCCTGCAGCCCGGCTCCCCGACCCTCAGCGGGGTTACCTTCTGCAGAAGCGGGACTAGGGACAGGGGACAAGGGGAGGGGGAGGCAGCCCGAAGGAGTGAAGGACGAAGCCCCCGGCGAGGAAGGTGGGCGGCGGCGGCTGTCAGCTCGCGTTCCCCAGCTCACAGCGCTGCCATTACTGTGCGCCGAGGCCGCCTCCCCGGCCGGCCGCCGCCACCGGCCCAGGAGACACGGGGGGTGGGGAGCGAAGCCCGGGGAGCCCGCGCGCCGGACGCTCACCTGCCACCGCGGGAACACAGCAAAGCTCAAGGCTGCCGCCGCTCCCGGACGGGGCAGGGGCGGCGGGGAGAGGGGAAAGGGGAGTAGGAGGAGCTGGTTACGGGATCCGTAAAACAACCGTCCTCCGGAGCGCCCGGCTTTCCCCCCACCACACACCCTTCGGGCTCCTTCTTCCGCTACCTCCGAATCCCCCCTCGGAAAGCAATGGTAGAGTCCGCGTTACGGCAAGCGCAGAGAGCCCGACTTAGTGCCATTGCGAAAGGCCACGGAAATCAGTATTCGAAGTGACTCCTGGCGGTATTCCCTGTTAATGAGACAATCACGGTTCGCTGAGCTCAAGCGACTCAGGACCCACCAAGTTTTGGCACTAGTAGTAACAATATGTCAGAAAGGTGTTTTCAACAAAAGTACATTCCCTTTGAGTTGTTTCAGACCTGTGTGAATATTCTGAGACCTACAATCTCCTTGCCAACAGTTCCATGGGCTTTTCAAATTGTCAAAAATGTATTAGCAAAAAACTATGTTCCCCTCTGACATACTCCTTTTCTAGTGGGTTTTTGTCTATAGATAAATTCTGAGACATAAATGTATTTTAAATAAAGGAATTTCTCTTCACAGTCTTCATCACTGAGTCCCCACCTCCCCAAAGCCCCCACGACATCAACCTAAAAGGTGTTAATTCTTAACCGGTAATGTTGACAAAAATGTAGGTTCACCCGTCACCTCCTCCTATACACAGAACCGCAGGGAACAAAAGCCTGGCTTTATTCTTTATTTGCCTTTCATATCCACAAGATCTTAGAGTCTTGTTCTTCAAACTTTTCCCCTTCTAACCCTCTTTCTTAAAACTATTTGTACCAATCCTTTAAGGCCATTAAAAATCCTGTTTGCTTGCTTGTCCACGATTACAACTCTCTGATATTCTCAAATAAACCCATCTTTTGCTGGTAAAATAACTGGCAGTTTGATTTGTAAAGTTAATAGCTTAAAGACTTTAGTGCTATTAATAAGTGGGACTTTTTGATAATGATGAGATGTGTCAATGTATGAGAGATCTACATGACACAGTGAACCAATATTTTCCAAATGACCAATGCAGGCCATTAAAAAATCACACATGGATAAAAGATCCATTCAAAGTGCCAGATAGACCAATGGATAGATCAATATATGCATGTGCGTGTGTGTGTTTGTGTGTTGCACACACATAAAAACAAAGTACAAAAGATTCCTTGATATGGTTTCAGATTCTTCATTGCAAATAACCTTTAAGAAATTATCACTTTATCAAATTTTCTGTAACATCAGAGAAGAATTTCCACACTTAACTGAAAAGACTATTAAATTCTCCTAAGGCCTCCTATTTTCTCCTATTTCTTCATATACTTGAATCACAGAGAACGCTTCGGGTTCCTTGTTCAGCGGGGAGTCTGCTGCTCCCCCTGCTTGTGCACTCTCTCTCTCTCCCTGGCAAATTTGCCAGGGAGAGAGAGAGAGAGCGCACAACCAGAGGGAGTGGGAGAAGTCAGCTCCTTGCGGGGCTCGATCCCAGAACCCCAGGATCATGACCTGAGCTGAAGGCAGATACTTAAACAACTGAGCCATCCAGGACCCAGGATTATGACCTGAGCTAAAATCAGACACTTAATCGACTGAGCCACCCAGGCGCCCCTAACACCCCATATTTCTAAATTCCAGAGACCTCTCATCCCTTTAGAGCTTATCCAACCTATATAATAGGGAAATACATTTTGAAAAAACTTATAGTATCCAAGCCTTTTTTTTTTTTAAAGATTTTATTTATTTATTTGAGACAGAGAGAATGAGAGACAGAGAGCATGAGAGGGAGGAGGGTCAGAGGGAGAAGCAGACTCCCTGCTGAGCAGGGATCCCCATACGGGACTCGATTCCAGGACTCCAGGATCATGACCTGAGCCGAAGGCAGTCGCTTAACCAACTGAGCCACCCAGGCGCCCTATCCAAGCCTTTTAATATTAAATTGAGATTAGTTCTTCCTTCCAGAAAAAAAGATATTGTTTCTGGCCAACCCTCAACCCACTACTTTAAGCAATGGTTGGTCTTCACCCTCAAACCTAACTCAAACCCTAGTTCATCTATGAATCCTTTCTTTGTTTTAATTTTTAACAGAAATTACATATATTACTAAAAAATGTGTTTTGGCTTTGTAAAATGTTTGTTGAATTCATTTATTTTTTTCTTGATTTCTAAAGTAATAAGTGTGTTTTTAAAAACAGAGAGAGAGAGGAAAAAAACCCTACCAATATTGCAGAAATAGAGGACCATATTTAAGTTGATAAATATTCCTCAAAAATTTTCCATGAATATAATAAATATGTTTATGCAAATCAGATCATATTATAGATATACTATTTTGCAGGCAGCTATTTCACTTCAAAATCTTTCTGATTTTGGTCTGAGAACATTAAATAGTTCTTAGGCAAAGTAATTTATAAATTAGTATTTAAAGAGGAAAATTAATGAAAAATATTTTAGGTAGAATATCTTAAAATGTCATTACATAAATCAGTTAAAAAGTTTGTCTATTTCATTTCCCACTTGTGAGTGTACACAATTTTCTCTTTCAAAATTTTCCAAGTTCTGGGGCGCCTGGGTGGCTCAGTCGGTTAAGCGTCTGCCTTTGGCTCAGGTCATGATCCCAGGGTGCTGGGATGGAGCCCCACATCGGGCTCTCTGCTCAGCGGAGAGCCTGCTTCCCCCTCTCCCTCTGTCTGCTGCTCTGCTTGTTTGTGCTCTCTCTCTCTAATAAATAAATAAAATATTTTAAAAAAGTTTTTTCATGGGGCGCCTGGGTGGCTCAGTTGGTTGAGCGACTGCCTTCGGCTCAGGTCATGATCCTGGAGTCCCTGGATCGAGTCCCGCGTCGGGCTCCCTGCTCGGCAGGGAGTCTGCCTCTCCCTCTGACCCTCCCCCCTCTCATGTGCTCTCTCTCTCTCATTCTCTCTGTCTCAAATAAATAAATAAAATTAAAAAAAAAAAGTTTTTTCCAAGTTCATTTCCTAATTCCTCTGTAACTATTATTTGAGGAGCCCAACCAGAATCATCTTCTATCTTTATAAGCTTCCTTTATACACATGAAACCCAAAGAGCCCTTATTATTCCTGGACATTTATTATTTCAAACAATTTATCTCACTTTTACATTCTATATACTAAATCTGAATCATCTCTCCTTAAATCTTCACTGGGAATTTGCATTTCCTGGTTATATCACTTATTAAACATTTTTCCACCTTTTGGTTTTAGTAAACAAGAAAAAAATGAGATATTGGAGAACAGTTTTCATGTTTGGAGTAGCTGATTAAGGAGCTACTTTGTGCTTACAAAAGTGCAAAGCTCCTTTTGGAGAAATATCTGACCGTAGGACTGGGGCATAAACACACAAGATGAGCCTGGAGCACCTTGTAGTGTAAGAAAATAAGGAAGTACTCAAAAATAAAAACATCCACATTGACTGGAGTATGTCAAAGGGCACAAGAGCCAAGTGAAAGAATTTCCAATGGCCAAAGCCAGAACAATTTGAGCAAGAAAATAAAGTATTAGTGGATTATAACACAAAGTATAAAATAAATATCCATGGATTCATACTAGTATAAAAAATAAATATAAAAATTATCGAATAAAGAAATAAATGGGGGAGAAGAAACAATCTTACCTCAGGCAGGAGAATTCCAAATAAATTATGCATATACTGCACCTAAAGAAAGGGGAGCATGACTCCCCACTTTTTGGCTGTGCACCATAAAAGTCATTTCCTTCCAAAAAATAAAAAGAGTAACTTTACAGTAGAGAAAACTGACAAATGTCACATAGCCAGATGATTAAAGTCAACATTAACAAGATAACTCACTGTACGTTCCCTTGGAGTGAAGTGATGAGAATACCACTATACCTCTGTGATCTTCTTCGGCAAAATGCACAATTCTAGTCTAAACATGAGAAAATCATCAGACAAATTTCATTAGAGGGGCATTCTGCAAGATGCCTTACCAGTACTCCTCAAAACTGTTAAGGTTATCAAAAACAAGTTAAGGCTGAGAAATTGTCAGCCAAGAGTAAACATGACCACTGAATGTACTGCAGTATCCTGGATAGGACCCTCAAACAAAAGAATACATTAGGGAAAATCTAAGGAAATCAGAATCATATGGATTTTAGTTAATTACAGTCTATCAGAATAGATCCATTAATTGTCACGAAGATACCATACTAATGTAAGATGTTAACAGGGAACACCGGGGGTGTGGGGGTGTGGGGAAGAGGGTATATAGGGAATTCTCTATTATCTGCTCAATTTCTCTGTAAATCTAAAACTATTCTAAAAAAAAAAAAAAAAGCCTATCAATTAAAAAAAACCCATACAACCGTACACTTAAAAAAAAAAAGTACGAGGTTTCTAATCAGAAAAGCTAGGAGCCTGTAAGATGGTGGATCCAGATGAACAGGTTACATCTTTGCTTCTCTTAGACAATTCTGGTTGAAAGCTATTTAAAGAGAAAAGAAAAATCATTCTCTTTTAAATTAAAAAAAAATGCCTGTAAATCCTTTATATTTTCTTTGCAGTCACATTCAGACAAGTAAATTAACAGGAACAAAGCTGTGTTAAAAGAGAGCTCATTTTAGGGGCACCTGGGTGGCTCATTCGGTTAAACGTCTGTCTTCAGCTCAGGTCATGATCCCAGGGTCCTGGGATAGAGCCTTGCATAGGGTTCCCTGTTCAGTGGGATGCCTGCTTCTCCCTCTCCCACTCCCCCTGCTTGTATTCCCTCTCTCACTGTCTCTCTGTCAAATAAATAATCTTCAAAAAAGGAAAAAAAGAGCTCATTTTAAAGAAATACTTGTAAATTTCATGATTTGAGATAGTACATTTAAGAAGGTGATTTCTCAGAATTGGAAAGAGAGTGAA